CGGAGCTCAGGATGTGGCCCCGCCCTGTCCCTGGCCTGGCCCCCAGTGGAAAGAGCGAGGGGACTTCACAGGAGGTGTCACCTTCCTCTCCAGGGAAATGCGCCCGGAAGCCGGCATTTCTGAGCAGCGGGTCCCGCCGAGGCCGCCCTGTGCAGTCAGTTCCCCTTTTCTCCCGCAGCTTCCCTGGCCCGGCCCACCCCGCCCACCACGGCCTGGGCCCCCACTGGCCCCCTCCCTGGCATCCCTCCCCAAAGGCTCTGCCAGTGTCCCGATGCCCCGCAGTGGCTTCTTCTCAGCTCCCCCCCCCCATCTCCTCCGCGCTGGGGGCCAAGGCCTCTCTGCAGAGGGCGCTCGGGTGGCTCCTGGCTCCGCTGCTCGGCGTCGCCCGCCGCCCGCCCCTCTGTTCTCTGGCCCCCCCACACCTGCCACAGCTTCCGGGGCCCTGACTCTCCAACCTCTATCCTCTCTCCGCTGCTCACCACCACCAGCTCCTCTGCCACCCCCTGCCCCCCTTCCCTGGTGACGGCCCGCGGGTCTGAAGCTGGGGGTCAGGGCCTCCCGGATCCTTCGGGGACAATGGTTGGACCCTCTGAGCTGGACGATGGTGCAGCCGCGTTCACGGAGCCCGTCTCAGTCCCCTGGGGCGGCTGGTACAGCCATCAGGCCAACCAGCAGCTGATTAACAACAGACATTTCGTCTCACGGCTCTGCAGGCGCGAGTCCCAAGGTCCATGGGTTCCACAGCATCTGGATCCAACGCTGTGCCGTGTAGACCTGCTCGCCTCCGCTTGCTCCTGGATCTGAACCCACAGGACGCCTGCCTATTTCTCCGGAAGGGAGGATTGGCGCCCACCGTGTGTTGGCGGTCATGCCCTTCTGGGGCGGGGCCGAGCCCCCGGGCACCCCCAGCCCTGGCTGAGCATGCAGCGTGCGTGTGAAGACCCTGTGGGAGGCGCTGCATTGGTCACCGTCCTCTGTCCTCTGTGCCCCTGGCTGTGGGCCCGCCGCCCCGGTGGGCCGTGCAGGCCAGGTGTCCTTCTGGTGGCCAGCCACCTGCCCCACCCTGTGATGCACCCGCAGGCCCCACGCCCAGCACAGGGGGCAGGAGGCGCTCAGGCGGCTTGGGAACACCCCGCCCCCCCCCCCCCCCCCCAATTGGGCGTGTGGGAGGGGACCCCCAGGGGAAAAACCGGGGGGGGGCCTTTCTTTTAAAAACAAGGCGGACGTCATGGTGAGGCAGGCAGTCTACAGTTTATTGGTTCTATGACTACAGCAGAGGCATCTCAAAATGTGTACAAAAGGGTCTCTGGTTCTCCACTTGCAGGAATAATTTAACATCTTCTCCTCACTCCCAGACCCGTAGGTGCCGTTGCCTGTGGGCGGCTGTGGGCCCTGGCTGCACGCCCACAGACAAGGGGGCCTGACGGGCCCACGCAGCCATCGCACGGCTGCGTGCGGGCTTCTGAACTACATCTTTAGGCTCCTTTTAAAGTAAAACACCCCACACCCCACGCTGAGGAGGCTGAGATGGGAGGGTTTGGGGAGAGCTGCTCCCCCCGGTTGCTCCTGGGACCCGAGGCGCGAGGAAGGCACCTGCTTCCTGGCCTGGCCGCCGGGCCATTTCATGCCACCTTTCACCCAATTCTTATTTTGTGAGAAGTCAACATTTTGGTCTCAGAATGATAATGTCAGCGCTACCAACTCAAGAAGACAGCGCTACCAACTCAAGAAGAAAAGCACAACACAGGAAAACACAAAGCAAAACAAAGCAAAACGAAACAAAACGAAACAAAACAAAACGAAACAAAACGAAACAAAAGAACAGGCTCCCAGCTCCATCCCGGCAGCTGTTTCCCAGTGGACACTCCGGTTTCGTGATGCGGCTGCGTCCTCGCCGGACGCGGGACAGGCTGGTACCCGAAGCGACTGGGGCTGGGACAGCCCTTCGCCCGAGTGCCGTCCAGCGAGGACAGGCCCCTGCTCAGCCCCACGGGGCGGGGGGACTGGCCGGGCAGGGGCAGGCTTCCTGCACCAGGGAAGCTGGGGCCGGGGGAGGCCAGTGAGGCCGAACTGAGCATTCTCCTCATGTCCAACAGTTTGCCTTGGGGCTTGCAACCCTCCTTCCCCTGGGGCTTATTTCTTTTTTAAAATATGTTTTTATTGCCGAAACCGGTTTGGCTCAGTGGATAGAGCGTCGGCCTGCGGACTGAGAGGTCCCAGGTTCGATTCCGGTCAAGGGCATGTACCTGGGTTGCGGGCACATCCCCAGTAGGAGATGTGCAGGAGGCAGCTGGTCGATGTTTCTCTCTCATCGATGTTTCTAACTCTCTATCTCTCTCCCTTCCTCTCTGTAAAAAATCAATAAAACATATATTTAAAAAAAATAAAATAAAAATAAAATATGTTTTTATTGATGTCAGAGAGGAAGGGAGAGAGAGAGACATCAATGATGAGAGAGAATCATGGATCGGCTGCCTCCTGCACACCCCACACTGGGGATCGAGCCTGCCACCGGGTATGTGCCCTGACCGGGAATCAAACTGTGACCTCCTGGTTCATAGGTCGATGCTCAACCCCTGACCCACACGGGCCGGACCACCTGACGTTCATTTTGAACCCAGGGAGCGAGTAGGAAACCCGAGACACACACCCACGCCGCCCAACAGCAGGACAAGCACAGAAGGACCAGGCGGAGGGCAGGCAGGGGCCGGCTTCCTGGCCGAGGGAGCCCTGAAGCGTAGGCCCGAGCATGGCCACCGGGCCCACATCATTTAATCGCCCGCTGCCAACCTAGGGAACCTTATTTAAATACAGTGTTTCAGAGAAACAGTTACAGTGAAAACCCCAACAGGGAGGGTGTAGAGGGACAGTCCATTGGCTAGAAGAGGCAGTGAGGAGCGGGGAAGCGTTTTAGCAGAGGGCTACGTACAATTCCGGGTCAGCCCCGCCCGAGGCCGCTGGGAAAAGCAGCTCCCTCCGAGCGCCTGACCGTGGGCCGGGTGGGCAGCGCACAGGGCCCACGGAGGCTCCCGTGTGGAGGCCGGCCACGGGGGCAGGTGTGCCCGGCCACGTGGTGCCGGTTGTGCTCACTGCCAGTTTCAAAATGCCAGGCTGTGCTGAGCACAGAGTCCCTGGCGCGGGATGCCACCTCTGTGGGCTCCATCCTTTTTTTTTTTTTTTTTGGTTAATCCTCACCCGAGGGCATTATTTCTGTGGATTTTTTTGGACTGAAAGGGAGGGGGGGAGAGAAACATCAACGTGCCAACGGTTGCATCATCGGTTACCCCATCAGATCAAATTCACAGCCAACTTAGAAAAACAGCAACAGCCACCCCTATCCTGGAAACGAGAGCCCTGGTCTGGTCGGTCTGGTCCATATTGCAGCATCGGGCAGCCTGGCGCTGCGGTCCTGGCCCGCGGGCTGCGCTTAGCTCATGTGGTAGCGGTGCTCGCCCCGCGTGATGTGGGAGGAGAACTCGTACCTGTCCTGGCTGTGGTAGCCGCACATGTTGCACTCGAAGGGGTCGCGGAAGCCGTGGCAGCCCATGTGGATGGTGTACATGACGTGGTCGAGGAAGAGCACGCGGCAGTGTTCGCACTTGTAGGCCTTGAGGGGCTCCCCGCCCGCGCCCACCACGCGGAGGGCGTCCTGCGCGCCCTCGGAGGCGGCCCGCAGCACCTCGTAGGCCGGCAGCTCCTCCTTGATGGCCAGCCCGTTGCGGGCGTGCGCGCCGTGGTTGGTCAGGTAGAGGAGGCCGGCCCGGTGCTCCTCGTTGCTCTCCGTGTCGGTGGAGTCGTGGCCGCTGTGGCTGGGCGAGGCCTCCCGCTCGGAGGACAGGTTCTTGGCCTTGCACAGCAGCAGCAGGTTCTCCACGGCGCTGTCCTGCGCCGACAGGCCGGCCCGCGCGGCCTCCCCGGGCGGCTTGTGCAGCGGGTACAGGGGGCTGAGGACCGCGCCCCCCTCGGCGCCGCCCGGGGGCGTCTGCACCAGCGGGCGCAGGGCCTCGGCGCCCAGGTAGCTGATGGCGTTGTTGATGGCCTGGTCCATCACGTGCGTCTGCATCAGCTCGTTCTCCTTCTCGTAGCCGCTGCCGCCGTCGTAGGGCGCGTCCGGCAGGCACTTGTCCCCTGTGGGAGGCAGGCGATCAGCGAGGCCGGGACCGGGGCGACACAGCCCGAACCCCAGCCCGCGGAGGGCAAGGCAGCTCCGCCGCCGGGCAGCCTGGCAGCCCGCTGGGGGGCACTTAGGGGGATCCGGTGGACAGATGAGTAAACGGGTCGGGAAACAAAACGGTGCCCGTCCACCTACAGCACAGATTCGAATGGACTGGACAAGGGCCGTGTCTCTTCTAGACAGAACTTTGTACGTAATTACACACGGTTACCTGTGAGCTCAACGCTGGAACGGGCATGTTCAACGTGGTGCTCCGAGTCACTTATAACTCGTCACACACTCATTCCATTAACTGTGTGATGATGTGGTTGTTCACAACAGCGTGCCACGCACGTACTCAGGCTAATATGACATAATGTGTTTAAATGCGGAGCTTGGCTCTTCGGGAGGAAGCCTACCAGCGGGAGAACCGCACGTCTGTGCGATGGAATTCCTACCCACTCGACGGGCTCCCCGCAAACCCACACGCCCCCCCCTCCCCCGCGCCTCTTTCCTTCCTTCCACACATCTTCCCTGAACATCTACGGACCCGACAGTGGGACAGAGAGGAGAGCCAGGAAGAATGGTCCCCGTCCTCGCAGCACAGAGGGCCGGGGGGGGGGACCCCGAAGCTTGATTACACGGTGCATCCCACGTCCTCTGGACGGTGTCGCCCAGGCTCCCGGTGAATGGGGGGGGGGGTGGTCAGCCGGCGAGCGGCTCTGGGTCCCGCAGCGAGAAGAACCCGGTCAGAAGGAGCCTGGAGCTTGGGGGCGGGTGAAGGTCGTGGGGCCCGAGCCCTGGGCACAGGGTGGGGGGCAGCGCGGGCTCGGGGGGCAAGGCTAGACCCCGCAGAGGCTTGGGCCAAAGGACGACTGAAGCCACTGAGGGTTGAAGGGAGAAAGCCCATCTCAGGTCCCCAGGAAAGAGCAGGCGGAGGGACGGAGGAGGGAGCTCACGCGGGCTCGCCCAGGAGTCCCAGGCAGTAGCTGAGGGGGGCGGGAGGAGGGGCAGGAGGGTCCCACGCCTCCACGCTGACACCGACATCCGGGCCTCCCGCCAGACCTGGGCCACGGAAGGACCAACTACCCCACAGACCACCCCATAGTTCACGGACTTGCTAATAATTCTTATTATTTGTTCTTTTTAAAATCCTTGCCTGAGCATATTTTCCCATTGATTTTTAGAGAGAGTGGGAGGGGAGAGACAGAGAGGGAAACATCGATGTGAGAGGGACACGTGGACTGGTTGCTTCCTGCACACACCCTGACCGGCACCCGGGCCGGGGAGGAACCTGCAACCGAGGTACGTGCCCTCAACTGGAATCGAACCCGGGACCCTTCGTCCGCAGGCCGGCGCTCTAACCACCGAGCCAGGGTACTAATAATTCTTTAAAAAGCTCTGTGACCATCGGTAATGGCCCAGGAGTTGGTCTCACCCCTCAAAGCGTCTTAAGGTCCGGTTTCTCGCCTGTAACGGACATTCATCACATGACGGCTTGGCTCCCGTTCACTTTAACACACGGGGGAGGGGGTGGGGGTCAGGGAGGCACAGGCCCTGACAACGTGCCGGGCGGTCCTGAGACCTGGTGGGTGGCCAGCCGCCCCCTCAGCCAGCAGGGCTGCCCGTGCCAGGGGGTGAGGGCACCAAGGCGGCCCGTGGAGGGGGCGGACGGCAGGACGGAAACCACGACTGCCCCGTGTGGGGCTGAGGTGCTGAAGGTCGTTACCCTCACCCGGACAGGATGTGGCCGCTCGGGCTTACGCCCAGCCTTCCCTCTTCAGATCTGGTGGGGCGGGGGGCATGGCCCTGTGGACGATTCTCATAAACCTAAAAGTGCCTGTGACCCCCCCCAAGCCACCCTGCTCCCCCCCAAGGTCACGGCCCTCTGGTTCCCGGGGCACCAGCGAAGCCGGCTGTTTTAAAGCTTGGTGTGGACAGCAGACGGATGTGGGACACACACACACACACACACACACACACACGTTTCGGAAGATGGTGGCCGAGTGACACAGCCTCAGGACTCCTGCTCCCTGATATCCCACAAAGGAGTAAATGAACCCCCCAACCCCCGGGGGTGACCGGGGAAGAGAGGCAGGTCCTGAGGAGACGCTGTGTGGGCAAGTCCAGGACCAAGAGGGAGCACCTGGCCTGGCTGCTCACCTCACCTCCCAGTCCTCCCGTGGGAACAGCCCAGCCCCCGCACCCCCAACCCCACGTCAGCTCAGCATCCGGGCGGCAGGTGCTTCTCGCCACGCCGAGCAAACACCACGGCCACCTCTGCGGTGCGGACACGTGCCCGGGACCGCAGAGCCCGAGGGGTCCTTGCGGTGAAGCCGCCCCCTGTGCGGAGGGGCCCACACCCGGGGGTGGGAAGCCGCCCCACCAGGGTCTGTGCCAAGGAGTGGAGGGCATTTAACCCCATCTCAGCACGAGGGGGAGCGAGCCGAGAGAGGCCTTTCAGCCCGGCCGGTGTAGCTCAGTGGCTGCGCATCGACCCAGGAGCCAAGAGGCCGCCGGTTCGATTCCCAGTCAGGGCACAGGCCCGGGTTGCGGGCTCCCTCCCTTGTGGGGGGTGTGCAGGAGGCAGCCGATCGATGCTATGTCTCTCTCATCCATCCCTCTCCCTTCCTCGCTCTCTAAAAAGAAAATCAATAAAAGCATAGATATTTACATAAAAGAGACAGCCTTTAACAACTACACCCCGCCTCGCCTGACTCCCCACCCCCCTCGGCATTCTTTCAAGATTCAGAGGCGCCGATAGGCAGCTCTCACAGGAAGAAGACGCCCCAGATACAGTGGGAAGGATGTCGGGCCATCAGTCGATGGCACCAGCCCGAGAAGAACGAGGAGGTGAAAAGCCACGTCCTCTTGCTGCGAGAGCACCTTCGGGCGGTTCAAAGGGAGAGAGGAAGCCGCACAGCCGCCGAGCGAGCTGCCCCGGAGAGGTGCGTACTTCACAGAAGAGAGGAAGCGGCTGTCGGGGCTTCGTGCCGTGGACCCCAGAGAAGATCCCGGAAGGCTGAGCGGCACAACAACAGGATGCCCTGCAGGAGGAGCTGCGGTCTCCACCCCTAGCGCATCCTAACAACGTGGCCTCCGAGTCAGCACGTGGGTCCAGGCAGCAGGGAACAGAACGGACGAGGCCGTGCAGACACGGACAGAGGCCAGCACAGCCCGGGGGCGCACGCAGAGAAGAGAGAGGGTGACATCCTAACAGACATGCAGGACAGGCGACCCGACAGGAGAGCTGGTGGCCCCCAGGGAGACCGCGGGAGAGGGGACAGAGATGCCCTCCGAGAAGAGAACTTTCCAGAAATAAAGGGGACACGGGAGTCCCCAGGGTCACACGCTGGGAAACTCGAACCCGAGCGCGAAGCTCCAGGTCCCGTCCCGGGGGGGACACGGAACGCCAAGGGTGAGGAAAGCGCTCTCGCGGGATTTCGGGAGAAGACGAGGTCCCGCCATCATCATCTTGGCTCTGAGAGGCTCTTGGGGACACCAAGGGTCCCGACGCCACCCACGAGGCCCAGGGCTCTGCAGGTAGGAGGGCAGCGGGCGGCCGCCGCCAACACCGACGGCCGTGGACGCACAACGCCTCGCGGCTTTTCCTGCAAAACGTTGTGTGACTGTGAGGCCCAAGCCATGAAGCGACGACTGAACCGACAGAAACACGGCCCCCTGAAGCTCACACAACAGCGAATGTAACTGAGAAAAAACCAAAAAACAAAACAGCGGCAGGACAACCAGGCCTGCGCCTGCACTCTCTGTAAATACGGAGTGAAGAATAACCGGCTAAACGGTGAGGATTCTGGTCCCAGGAGGGTGTGACATACGGGAGCCAGACAAGGGGAACGTGGACACACAGCTGGGCCCTGGAGGTGGGCGATGCCCCTACACTTACTTCAAAGCGAGGAGTCGGGAGATACGGCCAAAGGGAGGCCAATGAGTTAAAAATAATGTGAATGTTTTAATGTTTTTTCGTGCATATCTTTTTAATCTTAGAGAAAGCCTTTAAAATATCTTTTTGTCCCTGGCTGGTGTGGTTCAGTTGGTTGAGCATTGACCTGTGAACCAGGAGGTCAGGGTTCGATTCCCCATCAGGGCACAGGCCCGGGTTGCGGGCTCGATCCCCAGTGTGGGGCCTGCAGGAGGCAGCCGATCCATGATTCTCTCTCAGCATGGATGTTTCTCTCTCCCTCTCCCTTCCTCTCTGAAGTCAATAAAAATATTAAAAAATACCTTTTGTGGGGAAGTATTTATTTGAGGATGAGCCAGTGGGTTCCTGTTCGCCTCTCACACTTCCGACACGTGTCAGTGGGGCTTTCGGAAGCAGCGTCTGCCACAGGCCGGCCAGCACCCTCACTGGTTTACCTGACGCTCTGGACGCCCCTGTGCATCGCCCGCTGCTCACGGACTCGGGCGTAGGAGTGAGAGGTTGTTTAGAACGAATCTCAGCTGCTCTTAACACTGCGGTTTCTGGACACCGAGTTTCGTGGGGATTTTAAACTATTCATCTTTGCACTGAAATCCTTCCTATTAGCCACATGTCATTTAAATAATACAATAGGGTGTGTTTTTTTTAATTAAAAAGGAAACTTCTTAGAAGACGTTTACTGAGATGATTATAAGGGGCTGCAGGGTTACTGCTCATCGTTAGTTTCTTATTCTTATTCTCACCACAACCACCAAACAGACTAAAGGCGGCGGTGGGCACGGCTACGGAACGCGGCCCCTTTCTGGCCGGGCGCGCTAGTCCCGCGGACCTGTGTCTAGGCTCTCAGAGGATGGCTTCCGTGATGGCAAGGAAGGCGGCCACCAGAACCAATACTTACTGACACTCATGTCCAAGTTTAATTTTAATCACAGGCCACAAATTAGGCCAAAATATATGCCATTCTGAGCAATTTGCAACATGAACCGCTATCAGCTCGCGGTTCTAAGGCGCGTCCAGTGTGAAGAGCACTGCCGCCCCCATCGGGCCTGAGGGTCCCCAGAATAGCTCTGGGCAGGAGGCGTCAGGCCCCCTCACAGATGGGGCCGCTGAGCCCGGTGGTGAGCTCAGGGCACCAGCCGGCCTCCTGGATGCAAACCTGGAGGCTCTCCACGGCTCCGCCCCCTGACCGGCCGGGCCGGCGTGTGACAACAGCTCCTCCCTCGCCTCTGAGTTTACATCCAGGATAAGCCCGCCCAGCGCGAAAGGGCCCGTTTGACTGCAGAGGAGAAGGTGCGCCCAGGCGGGCGGGGAACTGAGCTCCCAGCACCTAGGGCCGTTGTTTTAGAAAAGCCTGGCATCGCCAGCCTCTGGGGAAACACCGGCAGGCACAGGGCAGGCACACAGGCAGGCACAGGGCAGGCACACGGCAGGCACACGGCAGGCACAGGGCAGGCACAGGGCAGGCACACAGGCAGGCACAGGGCAGGCACACGGCAGGCACACAGGCAGGCACAGGGCAGGCACACGGCAGGCACACGGCAGGCACAGGGCAGGCACACGGGCAGGCACACAGGCAGGCACAGGGCAGGCACACGGCAGGCACACGGCAGGCACAGGGCAGGCACACGGCAGGCACAGGGCAGGCACACCGGCAGGCACACCGGCAGGCACAGGGCAGGCACACGGGCAGGCACACAGGCAGGCACAGGGCAGGCACACGGCAGGCACACGGCAGGCACAGGGCAGGCACACGGCAGGCACAGGGCAGGCACAGGGCAGGCACAGGGCAGGCACACGGGCAGGCACAGGGCAGGCACACGGGCAGGCACACGGGCAGGCACAGGGTAGGCACACGGGCAGGCACACGGCAGGCACACGGCAGGCACACGGGCAGGCACACGGGCAGGCACAGGGCAGGCACACGGGCAGGCACACGGCAGGCACACGGCAGGCACACAGGCAGGCACAGGGCAGGCACAGGGCAGGCACACGGCAGGCACACGGCTACCAGTGGTCGGCAAACTCATTAGTCACCAGACCCAAATATCAACAGTACAACGATTGAAATTTCTTTTGAGAGACAAATTTTTTAAACTTAAACTATATAGGTAGGTACACTGTTATTAACTTAATTAGGGTACTCCTAAGGCTTAGGAAGAGCCACACTCAAGGGGCCAAAGAGCCGCATGGGGCTCACGAGCCGCAGTTTGCCGACCACTGGCTAGGCACACGCAGGCACACGCAGGCACACGGCTGCGGCCACCTTCTGATGGTTGTTTTGCGCACACACCGGGGCCTGCACAGCCTCATGGCCCAGGAGCCGGCTTTTCTTTTTTTTTTTTAAACGTGGGAGCTCCGACGCCTCAAGATAGCACCTACACTGGGGTCTCCCCGGCGGCAGCAGCAGGGGTTCCACACAGGCTCACGGGGCGGAGCCTCCAAAAGCTCAAACCGGCCCACCTTCCCCACAGAGGCCTTGGCAGGGCGAGGAGGAAGCTGCCCAGCGCCCCTTCCCAGAGGCAGTGACCCCAACGAGCCTCTGGCCCCTCGCTGCGTCCGCCCTGCTGCCTCTCCCTGGTCCCCGACAGCCCCTGTCCTACCGCCAGGGGTGAGCCCGCACCCCCTCAGCCCAGGGGTGGGCCCCGCACCCCCTCAGCCCAGGGGTGAGCCCTGCACCGCCCTCCCCCCCCCAGCCCAGGGGACTTGACGCCCACGGCCAGGAGCCTCCTGTGGCCCGTGACTCCGCCCCACGCTGCTCAGGAAGTGCAGGCTCCTGGGCACAGCCTGCAGCTCACACGTGTGGGCGGCTCCCCAGCGTCCCAGCCGGTGGTTTGCAAAAGTGTCTTTAACTTCCTTCCGCCACCTTCTCAACCCCCAGCCACCGACAGTCCTCCCTTTAGAGCTCTGTGCTCCTCCCTGAGGGCCCCGCCCTGTCCTCCCTGAGGGCCCCTCCCTGTCCTCTGTCTATTTTATCCCAGTGGTAACAGTTGACCTAATATTGACAGTTGCTAAATGTTCTCACAACCTTGGCCTTACTTTACAAAACCCCGTGAGACACAGAGACTGAACCAAGGCCACCGTGTTAGCGCGTGGCCGTGACCGACACCCAGGTGGCCCCAGCCGCGCCTCTGCCCTCCGGTCTGCCCTCCTGTGCGGCCTGGTGATGCTCGGCGTGTGCCCATCACCCACAGCGGACGGCACGCTCCCGCGGGCAGTGCCCCAGGTGCCCTCACAGCCCGTCATAGGTGGAGGTGCCCCTGGGAGCGCACGCCCGGCCGGGCCCCTCTCCAGGGCTCTCCTCCTGGCAGGCGCTGCCCGAGTCTGCCCAGGACCCTGCAAGGGCGCGGGTAGGGCGCTCCGTGTGACAACGGCCGCGCCCAGCTCAGGCTGGGGTGTCCGGCTGTGCTGTGAGCCAGGCCGAGCCAGGCCGCTCTCGGACCCTGGGCACACGGACCGGCCACCCCCAGTGTCCACGCTCGGACCCTGGGCCCACGGACCGGCCACCCCCAGTGTCCACGCTCGGACCCTGGGCCCACGGACCGGCCACCCCCAGTGTCCACGCTCGGACCCTGGGCCCACGGACCAGCCACCCCCAGTGTCCACGCTCGGACCCTGGGCCCACGGACCCGCCACCCCCAGTGCCCACCGAGTGTCCACAGGCAGGTCCCAGCCAGTGCCCGGCCCCGACACCGTCTGGCTGAGCCCCCGGGGGAACGTCTGTCCTGTGTGAGCCCCTTGGGGAAAGCCCAGGCATGAAGGAAGGCCGCCCCCCCCCCCCCCGCCTGGTTTCTCCCCGGAGCCAGCACTGGTTTCTCCCAACCTCCCCTAGGGACCCCGAGGGTCACACCCCCACCGTTGTGTTTAGAGACAGCAAACGTGGAACTCTTACCAACGAATTTCTGAGGCAGAGAGCTCTTACGTTTGGCGACGTTACTTGCGAGTCTGTCCAGCACGAGGGCCCGCTCGGCGCCCGCCTTGCACAGGTCCTCGGCCGCCTCGCCGTGGTTCGCCTCCTCTTTAATAACTAGAACCAAAGACACGGAGGGCGCTCAGGAACGCTGACGGGACCGCACGGTCGCCCAGCGTCCATCTGACACGCGATAGAGGCCTACAAAGCCAGGCCCTCGCCCGGCCGGCCTGGCTCAGTGGTGAGCGTCGACCTGTGAACCAGGAGGTCAGGGTTTGATTCCCCGTCAGGGCACAGGCCCGGGTTGTGGGCTCGATCCCCAGTGGGGGGCGTGCAGGAGGCAGCCGATCCATGATTCTCTCTCATCATTGATGTTTCTATCTCTCCCTTCCTCTCCAAAATCAATAAAAAATATATATATATAAAAAAAGTAGCCAGGCCTTCAGCAGAGATGATTTCTCCTCTTCCCAGTGACCGGCCAGGAACAGAGCTGCCCAGAGCCACCCGCTCAAGGCCCCCTGGTCTGCACGTCCGCCCCCAACACCCAAGGGCCGGGCCTCACCACTGTCCCCGAGAGTGGACGGTGATGACTGTGTCCCCCTGACCCGTCCCCTTAGCGTTTCAAATATTCCCCGACCCCCACCCCAGCCAAGCCTGAGGGGCCTCTGAGAACCGAGGGAAGCCAGAGCCAGCAAGCCGGGACCCGCCCCTTCCCCAGGCCCTCGGACGGACGGACAGACGCAGGGGCAGAGGAGACGCTCAGGACGCCGCAGCAGGCCCTGGCAGCGCGGGGAGAGCTGGCTCCGCTTGGACCCTGAGCCGCAGGAAAACCCAGGGCCACGGAGACTGCGAGGGTCAGAGCCAGAGGGAGCCGCGGGCGGGGAGCCTGTGGCCTCGGTTCTCCTCACACCTGCGTCACTTCCCCGCGGAGGACACAGCTCTGCCTCCTGCAGGGTCTCGCCTGGAAGTGGAACCCTTCCATCTCCCCACGATTTACCCACAGACACGGGGCTGAGGACGCGGGGACCCCTCTCCGATGCTCAGTGCCTCCATCCGGCCCCCAAACCCATCTGACCCCCGGGGACCCCCCTTCCTGCTCAGTGCCCCCGTCCGGCCTCCGAGCCCATCTGATCCCCGGGGACCCCCCTCCATGCTCAGTGCCCCTGTCCGGCCCCCGAGCCCATCTGACCCTGGGGACCCCCCCTCCGATGCTCAGTGCCCCGTCTGGCCCCCGAGCCCATCTGACCCCGGGGATCCCCCCTCCGATGCTCAGTGCCCCCGTCCGGCCCCCAAACCCATCTGACCCCTGGGGACCCCCCTCCGATGCTCAGGGCCCCGTCCGGCCTCCAAGCCCATCTGACCCCCGGATGCATGGGAAGCGGATCCTGCAGCCTCTCCCCCTGGATGTCTGTCCCTCGAGGAGCCCCGAGTTGCAGCTGCAGTTTAACAGGCACCAGACAGCGCTCTGCTTGCAAAGCCGCCAACTCCCCACCGACTTTCCCAGGGTCCTTTCTGCTACACGGCCCCCAGGTGCCAGCAAGATGCCCAAGCCCCTGTGGTGCTGGCCACGCCCGGGTCTGAGGGACCCCCCCCCCCCATCTCTCTGGTCTCCGCGTGGCTCTTCCTCACGCCCGCGCACTGCCCGCTACGGTTGTTTCTCATCGTTCTGTCTTCGCTGGGCGCTCTGAGAGCCACGGTGAGAAAATCTCTCTCCGCTTGGTCCACGGCACCGTGTATGTCACACTGGACATGAGGAACGAGTGTTTATTACACAGCCAACCCGATGCCCTAACCCCTCCCTTCGCCGGTCGCACTCCCCACGACGGGCTTCCGTAGGCTCCGTCCCCCTCCCTCTCCGAGGGCCTGGTTTCCCCTCTACCAGGAGGCTGGGTCCTGAGGGAACCTCAGGGCCGTCTCAGTGAGGGACACGCCAGCCCCAGCTCCCAGCTCCCGGCCACTCCGCCCCCCGTTCCCGCGAAGGGCCCCTGAGCCTCCAGCGAAACCTGTGTCCGCACGGACAGGGCCCAAGTACGACAGGTGACCAGGGTGCTCTTGACTCAGAGCTGCTGTGGTCACCAACACTCATCTCCTCTACATCCTGTACGCCCCCTTCTGTCCGCACCTCATCCCAAGGCCCGGCCCAGCTGAGGGGACGGAGGGGAGAGCCTGCGAGGGCGCCCACTGGGCGGGTGGGGGCGTGGGAAGGACAGGGGACCAGAGGCAGGGAGGGCACAGCCACGCCCAGCAGCCAGGAGCCCCGCCCCCGCCTGCCCCCATCCCAGCCGCCGTCTCCGGGGACTCGTCCATGTGCCTCCGTGGGTCCCCAGGGCCTTCGCCAGCACGAGCCAACCTGGAGCCTCTCGCCTCGAGGATATCCCGGGAGGGACTCCAGGCCCCCGGAGCGCCAAGCGGCCATGGCAGGACACGGTGACTCTGACCATCGAGCACACGGTCGGTCGACGTCTCCGCCGACTGCCATCGAGGGCAGAACAGAACCGAGTGTCGGGGGGCAGCACTTGGGTGCCCTAACCCCGTGTCCAGGTACATGTGTGACCGCGTGGACGCTCCACGCTCTCACGCCGGCTCCTCCTCTCGGTTCTTCCTGTGCCGTCGGCCCGGCAGGAAGTGCCACTCCTGTATTTTTTTTTCTTTTGGTTAACCCTCCCCCGGGGATGTTTTCCATCGATGTTTAGAAAGAGTGGACGGAGCGGGAGAGGCCGAGAGAAACACTGATGTGAGAGAGACTCAGGGGTTGGCTGCCTCCCGCACACGCCCAGACCAGGGCAGGGGATCGAACCTGCAAACACGGTGCGTGCCCTTGACCGGAACCGAACCTGCGACCCTTCAGGTCTGAGGGCCGGCGCTCTGCCCACTGAGCCACACGGGCCGGGGCTTGGCTGCTTTCATTTCACAGGTGAGAGTCGCCGGAGCTGTGCAGCGCACGCTGCCGACGGCAGGGCCAAGGCAAGCTGTGCTCTCGCGCCCACGACCGGGACAGCCTGGGAGCTGAGTGGACACACCTCATGCGAGCCGTCTCTCCAGCGTGTTCACGTCCTGTCTTGGCGACTCGGCACAAAGAAGCAACCAGTACTCCCGGCTAAAAACCATTACCCAGCCCTGGCCGGTGTTGCTCAGTGGTCAGAGCGCCGGCCACCGACTGAAGGGTCACAGGCCCGATTCCCGGTCAAGGGCGTGTACCTCGGTTGCAGGTTCAATCCCAGGCCCCGGTTGGGGCGCGAGTGGGAGGCAACCCATCGATGTGTTTCTTTCACGTTGATGTTTTTCTCTCTTTCCTCTCCCCCCTCCACTCTTTAAAAATCAATGGAAAAAATGTCCTTACTCCTTGGGTGAGGATTAAAAACAAAAGTTACCAAAAATTAAAAAAACAACACATAAAAAAACAAACCCCAAAATGTTAATGGTCACTACTATCTTAGAAACTTCCCCAGATTTCAGGGGGCGGGGTTCGAGGTCACGCCCCTCTGGGGCCGGGCGGCTCCCTCCCGGCGGGCGGGCGGGCGGGCGCTTACCTGGGTAGAGCGTGCCGGGAAGGCCCATGGTTTGCAAGTAGTTGTGGCAGCGCTCTTTATGTTCCTCTAAGGAGCTTCGCTGCTTATAGCTCCGGCCACAATATCCACATTTGTGAGGTTTACCAACTGCAGAGACAGAACCGAGTTCGAGACGCCGATTAAACGCCGGCCTCGGGGAGGGGAGCATGCAGCACAGTCGTCAGCCAGGCGGCAGCGGGCCCTGCCCTCAGAGCTCAGAGCGCCGGGACCGGCCGGAACTGCCAGCCGCCACCAGGCCAACGCCAAGGGGTCTCCTCGATGCTCCCAGGACCCCTGCGAGTCCCGCTCCCCCTGCGCTCGCCCCGCTCCGGACCACGTCTCTCCTGCGGAAATCGCTGTCCTCCACCTGGAGGGAACGCGCCCCCGCGGTGTGACAGGGGTGGGGTCCCCGGGCAGAGGTGGGAGGGAGGCGCGTGCTGGCCAGTCATATGAGATTCTTGCCCTCGCCGGTGTGGCTCAGTGGATAGAGCGTCGGCCTGTGAACTGAAGGGTCCCAGGTTCGATTCTGGTCAAGGGCACAGGCCCAGGTTGTGGGCTCGATCCCCAGTGGGGGGCTTGCAGGAGGCAGCGATCCATGATGCTCTCTCATCATGGGTGTTTCTATCTCTCTCTCCCTCTTCCTTCCTCTCTGAAATCAATAAAAATATATGTTAAAAAAAAAGATTCTTTTCCTCGGTCGGACTCCTGTCCCCGGGGCCAGACCTAAGGCACCCCAAGGAAACTCCACCCAGCAGAAGCGGGGTGACGGAGGCCTCAGGAAACCACGGCAATGAGTCTCTTCAACGCCGTGAGCATGTCTTTGCCAAACGGCATTGTCTTGTCTCACTTCACGTTCTGTGTTTCTCCCGAAGGCCCCAGGAGGGCGAGGTTTCTGGATCCGGCCCATCCAGCTGGACGCTCTGCGAAGGGGCCCTGCTCTACTGCGCGTCCAACGGGGCGGCCACCAGCCACCTGCGGCTGCTGAGCACTGGCCGGTGAGCGGTGTCCGGAGGTCGAAGCTCTCGCCCTGCTTAGCTGTCACTGATGACGAGGTAAATGCAAACGCCACGCAGGGCGGCAGCTCCAGGCGGTGAGTCCTTTACGGGGCAGGGCTGTGGGCAGGGGACTAGGATTCCCCTTGGGCCTGAGTTTCCAGACTTTTCCACCAGACCTTTACGGGGTGAGACAGACAAAGGTCTTCAATGACTTCGATAAAGAACATGCGCTGCCACCCTGGCCGGTGTGGCTCAGTGGATAGAGCGTCGGCCTGCCGACCGAAGGGTCCCGGGTTCGAGTCCGGTCAAGGGCACATACGTCGGTTGCAGGCTCCTCCCCGGCCCAGGCCCTGTCCAGGGCGCGTGCAGGAGGCAACCCATCAGTGTGTTTCTCTCACATCGATGTTTCTCTCTGTCTCTCTCTCCCTCTCTCTCTAAAATCAATGGGAAAACATCCCGGGTGAGGGTTAACCCAAAAAGAAGAATGTGCACTTCGATTCTCAGACCAGCGTAGTCGCCTTCCTTCTCCTCACGTTGGGTTCACTCACTTGAACGTCTCACAGAAAAATCAAAACCATCCGAGTAGGCATGTTGGGTGAAATGGGCCACCGAAGCTTGTATTGTCCGCAGGTGGACAGACGCGCCGGTTCCGGAGACCGAGACAAACCCGCAGCCTTCCGGAACGTTCAGTAGGAGAAAGGACCGTCACCTGCAGCAGGCGCCGTATCCCTAACACCTGAGATACAGGACGCTGCCTGAGCTGCGTGCTCCTTTGGGACAAGCAGCCCTTAGAGAGCCCCTCGCGTCCTTTCCTGGAAAAGCCAGAACCTCAGCAAAGGTCCGGGAATACGTCCTGGGGTCTGGGTGCCCATCACTGTGTATGTGATTGGTGTGGGCTCTGGGCCTAAGAAACGCGTCCACGGTGACAGCGGAACTGACGCGCGCAGCGAAGCATCGCCCGGTGCTCTCCGGGGGAGAAAGTCTCCGACGAAACACACAACTTCCCGGGAAGCGGTGACGAAGGAAGGGCCCCCCCGCTGTCAGTGTGGGCAGTTCTGCAGGGACCTCGCTACTCGGCACAGCTGCTGGGAAGCCAGGAGCCGGATGGAGTCGTTGGCAGGTGGAGCAGTGGCTGTTTCCCCAGCACGGGAGGCGGCCACATTCCTGAATCCTTTTCCCGAGAGCCGTGCATCCACGGCACCGGGAGACCAGAGTGACCAGCAGCCCAGGGGCAGGATGGCTTTCTCACGACAGGACAGCCCCCTCGCTCATCGTGGCTCCAACAGGCGTACAGCCCGCCTCTGTCGCCGAGAATTCCTCACACAGCGGAGAGCAGGCCGCCTCGAAGGAACAGGCAGGCGTCGCCGGTATTTTGTGGAAGAGCCACACTGAAGGGGCCAAAGAGCGGTTTGCCGACCACTGCCCTAAAACACCGACCCGCTCCCCTGAGCGTCACAGCGGGCAGGACAGGGCAGCCCCCTATGCTCCTAGGACTGGCGAGGATGCAGGAGAGGTTCTGTTGTCAGTCAGCGTCACCCCGGACGCCGTGAGCTGAGGACGAGCCGGGGGGAAGGCGTGCCTGCTACCCGGCCGGTGCCCGTCACCTGGCTGATGTCTGCCTGGCCCCTCAGCCACGGGGTCTGCCACATCCCGTCCCGACCACCTGGCAGGCGTGGCCCCCAGGCCGCAGCGTCACACCTGAGGCCTGACGGGCCTGCTTGCCACCTAGTCCCTGCACGCCTTCACACCACGGGACAGCACGTGCCTCTCCTTACCGACACACGGAAACACGAGAGACACCCACTGTCGCTCACCACCCTCCCACTGTGGGGAGGCCCCTGTCGCCTGCAGTGCCTGCCCCGTCCCGGATGGGGCGGTGACCTTGACCCCACGGTGACCCTGGCTGACCTGCTCGCTCGCTGGGAGGAGCCGCTCCTCCGCGTTGTGCGGCTCCTTTCCTGGCAGATTTTAAACCCTCACCCCAACGGTCACAAGTTAACAACCACGAGTGTTTTGGAAGTCTCCTCCTTACGGATGACCAGGAAGGAGGTCAGGGCGGAGAGGGGACGCCTGGGGCTCCGGGACCCCAGCCCCTTGTTCCGGGTGAACTCCGAGCTGCGCCGGCAGGACCGTGACCGCGTCCACGGCGCGTGCTCACCGGCGCCCGAGCCCCTCTCGGGGCCACTTGCTGAACTGCGCATCCGGGGCGTCTCTGAAGGTGAGTCAGGCCTCCCCTCTCAGCCTGCACTCGGGCCTTTTCTGCTGGAGTCTCCCTGAGGCCTCCCACCCAGAGACGGCCCGCCCCGCGTGCTCCCCGCCCCTCGGACACTGCGTCACCGCACGGGGAGGGGGGCTTTGCTGCCTGGCACCTGTCTCCTCCCCGGGTGCTGGGGTGCCTGGCACATGGGGACACATCCATGGACCCAGAAGAGGCCCCCGGACCCGACACTAACTACACGCGCTCCCCTTGGGGAGGGAGAGGGTCTGAGCCCAGGAAACCCTGCCCTGCTCCAGGGGCGGCCCCTCCGATCGGTGCTGCCCGGGAGGTCGTGAGGGAGCTGGTCTGCAGCCTCTCTCGGTCCCAGGGCCCTGCTCGGGGGAGACAGCCTGGTGGGCATGGGCGGCCCCGTGGGCAGGGCCAGGGCCTGTCACCTCCGTCCCAGGCCTCCTGCAGGACAGGGGCCACCGCAGGCCCACCGCCCTCCTCTGGCCGGTAAGAGTGGGGCCACCGGGTCATGGAAAACAGCGGACTGCTCAGGGGGCAGAGATCTGATCTGAGGCCGCGCTTCACGGCGGGAGCTGAGGACGGGGCGTCCTGCTCACTGCGACGCAGCTGGCCCTCCGGCCCTGGATGTGCTGGCCACAGTGTGGGACGTGTCCTCCTGGCGGAGGGATGACGGCTCCCGGTGCGGGAGCTACACCGGGCCCAGTGGGTCAGCGTGCCCTCAGGGGACAGGCGTCCACCCATCAGGACAGGCCCTGGTGAGGGTCATTATCACCTTTGCAATGATGGCTACTGAGCTCCCGAAACCCTGTGTGTGGCCTGACAAGCCACACAGACGTGTATTTGGGGCTTTCTGGGCATTAGCGTGACGCCCAGTAAGAGTACAGCTAGGCCATCCTTTAAAACAGGGGTTCTCAACCTTCTGGCCCTTTAAATACGTTCCTCATGTTGTGACCCAACCATAACATTATTCTCGTTGCTACTTCATCACTGTAATGTTGCTACTGTTATGAATCATAATGTAAATGTCTGATATGCAGGATGGTCTTAGGCGACCCCTGTGAAAGGGTGGTTCGACCGCCAAAGGGGTTGTAGCCCACAGGTTGAGAACCGCTGCTTTAAAAAGACCCACTTACCTGATGGGAAGGGGGGGCGAGGCCTCTTTGGAAATACTCTCCCGGAGGCGGGACTTCCTGTGCGATTTGCCCACCCACCTCCTCAGGCTCATGGGGAAACCGCAGGATGACGGGGACACAGATGCCACCCAGTCATCAGGGCTGCACCCGGGAGCGGGCCACCCGGCGGGGAGGGTTCCCTGGCCCCGCCTGCGCCCAAGGACCTACCGGAATGTGTGCGCAGGTGACCGGTGAGGGCGTCCCGCCGGCGGCAGGCGTAGTTGCAGAGGTGGCACTTGAAGGGCTTCTCCCCGGAGTGCAGCTTGATGTGGCGCAGCAGGTTGCCCTTCTGCGTGAAGGAGGCCCCGCACTGGCTGCACTGGAAGGGCCGCTCTCCTGCAGGGAGACGGGCGGTGAGCGCAGGCCCGGCCCCGGGAGGACCCGAGGGAGTGCCGTGGACGAGAGGGGGACACGCCCTGGACAAGAGGGGGACGTGCCCTGGACGAGAGGGGGACACAGTCTGGACCAGAGGGGGACGCGCCCTGGACGAGAGGGGGACGCGGCCTGGATGAGAGGGGGAGGCAGCCTGGACGAGAGGGGGACACATCCTGGACGAGAGGGGGAGGCAGCCTGGACGAGAGGGGGAGGCAGCCTGGACGAGAGGGGGACACATCCTGGACGAGAGGGGGAGGCAGCCTGGACGAGAGGGGGACGCGCCCTGGACGAGAGGGGGACACGCCCTGGACGAGAGGGGGACGCGGCCTGGATGACAGGGGGCCGCGGGCAAGAAAGTTGCTTCCCACGGGCCAGCGACGTCCCCCGGCTGCAGGTTTGATCGCACGTCAGGCTCTCAGACGCAACCTGCCAGCCCCTCACGCTTCACTGGTTGGGTCAATTTGATCTGAAAATCTAATTTTTTCCCCTAAATCAGGACGGCACATCACAATGCAAATTCAAACTCATTTGAATAAAGTGGCTGCAACGTGCTGTGATGAGGAACCGCTCTTCCTGATCAGCAGTTTTGGAATAAACCAATATCCAGTTCTGCGTGTTGTGGCATTTGGTGGGGCTTTTTAATGTGGCTTTTTTCAAAAGGGTCTTTAAAATATGCCACTGAAGCAGCAAAATAAAAAGGAAACTCATTAAAAATGCATTTCAGGATCACAAGTTCATTTCAGCGTTACATTCTTATATTTAAATGAAAGGCAGTTCATTATAACACTTATAATAACTTCTTTTCATTTACATCTCTCTGTATTTCCCTTTCAATTTCTTCTCCATTACCTGTCTGTCCCTTCGCAGGCGACCAGGAAGGAGACAGACGGAGAGAGAGCGCGGGGACCGGCAGGAGGAGGAGGAGCCGAGAAAGGGCGGCCTGAAGACCGGGATGGAAACTCCGCGTCGTCGTCCTAAAGCCCCGCGCCCCCTGGCCCGGCAGTGCCCGGCGAGGCACCCCGCCGCCCGAACCGCGAGGCCACGGCGGGGCCTCCCACAGGTGTGGCAGCTTCACTGCGATACTCGAGGATGCAGTTTAGTTGTGACTCGGGTTGTCTCCGGGCGGGGCCGTGAGTGGGGTGGCCGAGGACGGGGTCGAGCTCTGCTGTGTGGGCAGCGCACGCCCCTAAGTTCCGGGCCCGACAGGGGAGCAGCGGGCACCTGGGACAATGCGCTCTGAGGCAGTGCGGGCGCTGGACTCGGAGCTGGGACCCGCCACTCAGCGCTCACTTTCACGGTGAGGCCCGTGTCCTGTTCGGGAAACACGGCAGCTCCCCCAAAACAGATGCTCTACGTACGACCACCCAGCCTGGCGCTGAGCTGCCATGAACACACGCCTGGCGCTGAGCTGCCATGAACACACGCCTGATACTGAGCTGCCATGAACACACGCCTCCTGGGAACAGACTTTTCTTAGGAAAACGAACCCATTACGATGCGTATTTCACAGTCTTCCCAACGGGCTCACATGGCATGTGCGCCGTCCTGTATCCAAAGTGACCCAGCCGTGGCCTCCGTCCCGGTGAAATCGGCACCAGTGTCTCCCCCAGGCCGCGGGGCACCCGGCGTCACAGCGCCACCCTTTCTGTGGTGAGGTGGGTGCTGCTGTGGCTGCCGGAGCTGATGTGCAGTGACGCCCACTGCAGCCGGCGGGGGGCGGGGCGGGGGGACCCTGACACTAACCAGGATGTGCGAGGCGCGCCCAAACCCGTCCGGACGGGATGCCGAGCGGAGAGGGTTAGTGCCAGCAGGCGGGAGCCAGGGCGAACGAACTAGAACTGACCCTCGAGTCACCAGCCCATGAGCGGGGGGGCCAGGCACCCCGAGGAGTGCCCCACAGAGGGAGCATGTCACTCACTGTCTGTCAGGAACACCCCGGCCCTGCTCCCACACATGTGTGTGCATGTGCCTGTGTGACCCCAAGGAGAGAAAGGTCCCCGTGTGCGGGGGCACCCAGCTCTGCCCGGGGACCCTCAGACTGGGGGTTCTGGAAGGACAGTCAGTCAGGAGGTCTCATGCCGTGGAAATGCTGGAGACGGGGATGGGGGACACTCCGGTGACACGTGTTTGGACGACCCACAGCTAGAGCCCCTCCCCGTGGACGAGGCACTGGCTCCTGAGGTCTGAGGGTTGTGGGGGGCAAGCCCAGGGCGGGCCCTGCCGGGAGCCGGTGTCTCAGTGGAGACACACAGGATGGACCCTTGGCCTGGCCGGCGTGGCTCAGTGGTGAGCGTCGGCCTATGAACCAGGAGGTCAGGGTTCGATTCCTGGTCAGGGCACATGCCTGGGTGTGGGCTCGGTCCCCAGTGGGGGGCATGCAGGAGGCAGCCAATCAGTGATTCTCTCTCATCACTGATGTTTCTCTCTCTCCCTCCCTCCCCCTTCCTCTCTGGATTCCATAGAAATATTTAAAGAAAAGGAAGGACAGACCCTGGGAGCTGTGTCCCCTCCGCAGAGCAGGTCGGGAAGGAAGCCGGCGGCCGTTCCGAGAGGGAACTGTGATGTGCCTGCGGCTCTGTGTGCCCTGCGCTGCGGGCCCCCCCGCGGCCAGCTCTCCTGGACGCCCATTCTTCCTGCCGCGCTGGCACGCGTGTGACGCGGGCCCGGGACTCGCAGAGCGCGCTCCGTGAGGGCTGCTGGGGGGCGGGGGGGGGGGACGGGGCGGGTCCTGGCTTCTTGGGACATGAGCTCACTAGGTTCACCAGGCCCCCAAGGAAGGGCCCTCGGAAATGCCCGTTCGGCTGTGCCCCCTGCCCCCCGCAGACGCTCGGCCCGGCCAGCACCCAGGCCTCCTCTGGGCCCAGCAGGCTCGGCCTGGTCATAGGCGCCGAGCGCCCGGCTCTCAGAGGTTGAGACTCAGGGAACTCGGAGCGGGGCCTGTGGAGAGAGTGCGGGCCTTTTCTGCATGTTCCACGCAGATCCCCGTGCGCGGACGCCTCTGTGCAGGCCTGCGGGTCACCCACGCGGCCATGTCCCTCCCTGTCCCCCGTGACCCCTGCGCGTCTGCCTGTGAGCGCCATGGAGACGGTCCCTGGTTCTGAGCGAGGGACTGGCCGTGGGAGAAGTGGGCAGCTGTCAGCCCGGGCCGCGCCCCGCCACCCCGCAGGCCTCTCCAGGGAACGCAGTTCCCTGCACGGGGCAGGAGCCGGTGTCCGGGCGGTGGAGGGCGCCGGGACTGACCGCGCATCCATTCATTTAGGAGGCCGTGCGCGGAGTCAGGCCCTACAGAACCATGGGGAAGTCACTCAGCTGGGAGGGCGACTCCTGCACTGGGGGGGGGGGGGGTCCATCACAGTAACCACTGTCCCCTCCCCGCACCTCACTACACGGGGCAGAGGGGAGGGGCCCGGCAGCCGTCCAGCGGGCCTCACCCACACCCGGCCTCACCGGGGACTCCAGGAGTCAGGGACCCATCGGGAAAAACAAAGTTCGCTCACTTTTAAAATATGCATTTTTACAGAAAACGAATGCTGCTTGAAAATAAACATCTCCCCCAGATGCACGACCGATGGAGGACATCATCCTAGAAACGGCCCTGACTCACATGACAGTCACAACGCCGCCAACACCTGCCCTTCCCGGACGGCTCCCTGGCCCAGTGCCCGGGGGTTCCGGCTCCTCTTCAGTGTCTCCGCTCCAGGGGACCCGCACGAGGCGGCCTCGCGCCCAGGACACCTCAGGGCGCCCGCCCTGTCACTACAGCACGTCTCTCCTCCTGGCCTGTCCCCCCCCCCCCAACCCGGGCGTGGGGCTGACGCCCGCTCCGTGACCACCTGCTGGGCCAGCCCTGGGCGGGGCGGACTCAGACGCTCTGCGGCCATGGGGCTGGCACATGGACTGTTTTGCCCACGTTTACGGCGGAGAGCGGCGTTTCTGTTCAAGAGACGGGGAGGCGCGGCACAGGCAAAAGCACCCCATTAGTGGGGACGGGACAGCGGAGGGAGAAGCAGGTGACGGTAGGCCCCCAGGCCGAGTGCTGGGCACAGGGAGGGGCACAGGGGACCCTCCCGCCCCCGCCCCGGGGTGAGCGGACGCGGGCTGCCGTCCTCCGTGGGGGCACTGCACCTCCCGCCCCCGTCGGGCTCCCAGGCCCCAGCAGACGGGGTGGGTGTCGGGCTGTTCCGGACTCGGAGGTTGGAGACGCTGCCCTGAGCGGGAGGGGAGGGGACTGCGCTTTGGGAGCCGGCGCTCGCCCGGGTTCCCACACACCCAGCCCTGACGCTGGGACGTAACACGCGTGGCTCGGCCGGCTTCTCAGCGACGGTCTAGGCGGAGGTTTTGGGGTTCTCATCCCTGTTTGTGGGGTCCCGTCTCGCTGTCTAAGGGCGACTCCCTGGCACGTGAGCCTCACGGCACCCACTGCCCCGGCCTGAGGCTGCCAGCCTCCGGTTTCAGGCTCTGGTTTCTGGGGTCGGCCTGGCAGTGAGGGAGTCCCTTTCTCTGCAGCCCTGGGGGGAGGGGGAAAGGGGGAGGGGAGGGGGGAGACGCGCCGCACTGGGAGCCTCCATGGCCGTGCCGACTTTCCACGTGCTCTGGGCCCCCAGCCCTGAGGGAGGGGGAGGGGGGAGGGGGGAGGGGGAAGGGGGAGGGGAGACGCGCCCCACTGGGAGCCTCCGCGGTGCCCGCCTTTCCGCCTGCTCGGGCCCCGGCCCTGGGGGACGCGCCAGGCCTTACCCGTGTGGCTTCTCTTGTGCACCATGAGCACATTGGGGCCGATGCACACGATCCCACAGACATCGCACTTCAGTTTGCCGTTAGGAAGCCGGATGCCTCCAGCGCCGGACAGCGCTCTGCCGCCCGGGCCGCCGTGGGAGCCATTCACGTCCTCGCCCTCGGCGCCAAGCACGCGCAAGTCCTGGGCACACGCCTCCCCATTCATGTCACAGGCACGCCCTCGCTCTTCATCACTCTGAGCCTCTACCTTCACATGACCGGCTGAAAGACACAACACAGGCACTGTCACCGCAGGTGGCAGCACAGCGGCAGCGGGGCCGGCGCCCCACGCGGATGGCGGGGACCACGGCCCTCCCGCCTGCCCCTCCACAGGTCCCCGCGGCCGTCCGCAAGGGGAGAGACGACACCTTGAGGTTATTTCACTCAGGGAAGGGGGGCCCTCGCTCTAAGCAGGGTAGGGTCCCCGGGTCGCGGGGACAGCGTGGAGCCTCTGGGGAGCCTGCGCCCTCCCCACCGGGGGCCCGCCCAGAGGTGAGGGTGACCACCATCAGCGTCAGGGCCGGGGCCGGGGCGTCCTGTGGCCAAGCCCCTCCGAACCGCCATCCGGCAAGGTGTCCCGCAGCTCTCTGGAGAGAAGACTGACAGACAGTAAGCGATGGAACACGGACCCAGCTAACGGGCCGCCTGGACTTGGAGATCCAGGAGTGAGGGTGGCTCCTCCCTCTAGGCCCCTGGGCAGGCGGCGGCTCTGAAGGGCTTCTAGAGCCCAGAGCTCAGAAGGGCCTATTTCTCCACCCCCCGCCCCCCATGCAGCTGCCAGACGAGGGGCCGAGTCCCAGCAGCTCAGGGAGCAAGGACAGCAGACAGGCGGGGAGCCGTGTGCGGGGCCCCAGTGGCTGCTGCTGCCTCGGCCTCCCGGCCTCCCTGGCCTCAGTGCTGCCGGCTACCTTTCCCGGTGGAAGGGAATTCATCTCCACGGCCCACAGTCCACGGCGTCTGCACCGAGAACAGGCGTAAAGCTCAGGCCTCCGACCGCCAACACCTGGGTGACGCCTAATCACCACCTGGCGGGCTCTACCGCGAGGCCGGGGCTCGGAGCACAGGAGCAGCGGCGCGGCGAGTTCTCCGTCAGAGGCGGCGCGGAGGCCCGGCTGCCGAGCGGGGGTGGGGGGTGGGTGGGGGGGGAGCGGTGGGGCCAGGGCTCCTGGGGCTGGGAGGCCGGGAACCGGGCCTGGGGCGGGGGTGGTCCCCTCCCTCGTTCTTCCACTCGGCTCTGTCTCCCGCATTTACCAGGTAGAGGCCTCCCTTCAGAACTGATTCGCTTTCCCAAAGGCCCCGCCAGCAGGTGGCGGGCAGCACCTGCCAGAAACGCCCGCTTGCTCTGGCCACTCAGATGGACAGGCCTCGCTGCGGCCGTGGCCACTCCTGGGGACAGTGTGAGGGGCAGAGGGCAGGGGGCAGGGGGCAGGGGGCTCCGAGTTCCTTCCTTTTTTTTTTTTTTTGGTGGTTGAGAGCACATTCATTACAGCTGCGGACCGTGAGACAAGGAAAGGCTAGGATAGCAGAGGCCACAGGCGAGTGTAGGCAGGGCCCTGCTCTGGCCCTAGAAATGTTACAGGAAGGAAGTGAGCCACGCTGGGCTGTGGGGACCCGCTGAGCAGTGAAATCACAGCCACAGACGCGGCCCCGGGGCTGCTGTGCTCCCGGGAAAGCCTCGTCTGGAAGCAGCCGGAGACAGACTCGGCGGGGCTTTGGCTCGGGAATGTTACAGCAAAGGAGCCGAGACAGGGCGGCTGGCCGCGCACTGAGAAGTCAGGGCAAAGGGGACCCTGGAGACAGGGTCAGAGGGGAGCCCAGGAGAGGGGAGCCCAGGGCAGGTCGCTGCTCGCTGCTCCCCTGCTTGTAAGTCTCCTGGGGGCCCCGGGAGAGGAAAGTGACGGTGTGGTGTCCCGTGGCCAAGCAGCGTCCAGGGCGGAGCCACGGGCCACCCGGCGTGGGCTCTCAGATGACCTGGGCCCTGGGCTGGGGCCGTGGAGCCGCCTCCGGGTCTGCCAGTGGCTGGCACGGGGGAGTCCCTCCATTTATTGTTATTTATTTTTTTAAATATTTTTTTTTATTGATTTCAGAGAGGAAGAGAGACGGAGAGATAGAAACATCAATGATGAGGAAGAATCATCGATCGGCTGCCTCCTGCACGCCCTCTTTGGGGGATCAAACCCACAACTTGGGCCTGTGTCCGTGACCGGAATTGAACCCGGGACCCTTCCGTCCGCAGGCTGGAGCTCTATCCATTGAGCCACACCAGCCAGGGTGGGAGTCCCCCCCATTTAGAAGAAATTAAAAAGAAGGTAAAGACACTCTGCTGAGAGGGAAGGCGTGGGGTGGCCGTGCCCCATTGAGAGCCGGCCCACACTCGCGTGTCCGGCCCGGGGCACACGCTCCGATGGGCGCGGAGCAGGGACCCTGTCGGGCGGGAGGGGCGAGGACAGCGTGAGGGGAAGCCAGCACGACGTCACCCTCACCCCAGAGGTTCAAGCAGGAGACCAGTGGTTCGCGAGGGAGGGCCTTCTCCTGACTACTCCCGGGGACACGAGGTCTGAGCTGTAACAGAACCAGACCAACAGCAGGCTTCACGGGAGCCCGGCATCCACCAGCTGAGACGGGGGGGGGGGGGGGGGAGGCTCCAGAGCTGAAGAGGCCCAGCCCACGGAACGGGCCCAGGACCCCCGTCTGGGCTCCTGGGAAACGCAGACAGAACCGGTCTCTGTGGCGAAGGAGAAGGAACCGTGAAAGTGGGAATGGGATGGAGGCACTGCATAAGCCAACGCCACACACGCTTCTGTCGGAAAGGGATTCTGAAGTCGGCCCCACGGGAGGCGTTCGGGCCCCGGGATTGCCGCGCGCACTGTTTTCAATGAAAAACGAAGGAAGACTGAGCACTCCTGCCACACGGCGACTGGCCAGTAAAAATCCCGCGGAAGGGACACTGAGACGCAGCTGGGAGGAGGGCAAGCAACGAAAGTGTGCGAGGAGGAGACAGGCAGGCGTGTGTGAGCGTCTGCAGAAATGGCGACACGTGCTGTGACAGAAAACTCTGATGCTAACGCACGACCCCCCGGGACCCTGCCGACGGGGCGCCCCTGTGCCGGAGGGTTATGAAAAGTGTTGAGCATTTTAAAGGTGAACAAAACCATTCATTACAACGTACACCATTTTAAGTGCAGGTGGTTTTCTTTCCGTTGGACGGAAGTGTGATCAGGAGTAGTTTAAGCCTTACTTCATGTTTCAGGCCTTTTAGTGGGATGAAGTCGGGGAGAGAGAAAAGAGGAAGCGTATGAAACGCACTTCCTCCGGCGACGAGGGACGCACACTGGCGGGGAGCCGGTCCGGGGGCTTACACAGGTGATGTCTTTAATTTTTAAGAAGAAAAAGGGAAAAGAGGTGCTGAGGCGTGAGGACCCTTCTCCACCATGACCACCAGGTGGCGATGTTGGCCCAGAACAGTTTGGTTGCTGTTGGGTGGGGTGCAGTACAGCCAGGGGGCCAGGGGGCCAGTTACCGTTTGGGCACATGGGGGAGGGGGAGAAAGAGAGAGAAACACGAGGACCTGTGGGCCCATTTGTGTGGATACGTGGGCAGGCAGCGCATCCACACAC